ACAGAGTCTCACTTTGTTGCCCAGGCTAGCATGCTGTGGTGTCAGCTCACAGCAACCTTAAATTCCTGGGCTCAAGCAATCCTCCTGCCTCAGCCTCCAGACTAGCTGGGACTACAGGTGCATGCCACCACACCTGACTAATTTTTCTATTTTTATTAGAGATGGGGTCTCGCTCTTGCTCAGGCTGGTCTTGAACTCCTGATCTCAAGTGATCCACCTGCCTTGACCTCCCAGAGTGCTAGGATTACAGGCATGAGCCACTGCGTCCTAAAGAGATGCATTCTTTTTTATATGAACAATTCATTTAATTATTAAGTATGTAGGAATTTTCTTCACACACACACACAAATTTACTTTCTCTCATTGTTCTTGAAACAACAGCCATCTTGGTCTATCAGTTTTATAGCACCTTTCTATACCTAGTACCTGCAAGAAATACTTTACTTTTACTTATACCTTGAGGAAAACAGCAGGCACTCCAAAAATGTTAGAAATAGTTGGTCCCAATATCAGGAAAAAAATTTGTAATGCAAGCTATAGCAATATTATTAATGTGCAATAAGTTTTCTGTATAAGAATGTAACTTTTAAAACTAACTATTATGAGAAAAGTCTACAGTTTCAAAACCAGACTTTTCAGTTATGTAATTTCTATCAGGTAGGAATAATTAGCCCAGAGTTTTTAAAGATTATCGTCTTAATAAAATTTTGTTCCAGGTGGTTGTATTCATTAAAAAAGGCTAATTAAATCTCATGCATGTATTAAATCAGTGAAAATAGACTCCTGAAGGGAGCTGACTCCTCCAAAAGCTAATTGACTTATAAAACTGTATGCTGGAGTCTGAAACTCATAGAGGAATTGCTAGGCTAAGGAGAATATAACTCAGTTGAATTCTCATTCACCTGTGTCTACTAACAAAGGTGGCTATGTGTGTCCCCTTTCGTCCTGAGATCTGAAATCACAAGTTAAATCAAGGCAGTTATACACTAAAATACAAACAACAGGAATGGCTGATGAATGGAAGGTAGTCTTTGTCTTTTCAACTCACTTGGCCTGCTCAAACTTTCTACTTTAATTAGAGTGAAGTCAAATCAGAAAACAGAAATGCCATTCTGTTCCGATTCCATTCTTCTAATCAACCAATGCTGGTAATGGTTGAAACTTACAGCAGGAGCCTTCGAATATGGAAAGCTGAATTGGAAAAAAAAAAGGCATTCTTTTGTTCTAGTCCATTTAGTCCATGGGGGAAAAAAAGAGAGAATAAAATACTCTCCTAGCCAACATGCCTGCTGAGCAATCAAATACAAATGGTAAGGAATCAGAATGCAGACTGCTCAACCATGCATGGGTAGCTGGGTTTGTGAAGAAGGGAGCAATGTCAATAGCCACCCAAGTAGAAGCCAAAAAGATCTATAAGAGTCAATTCTGGTCAATTCTATAGTTGATGAACTAGACTCCAGCAAGACATCAAGCCTGAAAAGAGAACCATGTCCTGAAGTGGAAAACATGTTGAGTTGTATTGAGAATAATGAAATTAATTTCACTGATTAAAGCCTATTATTTTAGCTTTCATGGTTAAGGTTATAGATTAAAGCTGCCTTTTACAAATCAACAAAGAGGTACAAAGCAGGAACTGTGGTAAGGGCCTAAAACTCAGCGAAGGCACAGGACTAGCTAAAAGTAATGATAATAATCAGCCACTGTCCCCCTATTTGCTTTTCTATAATTACTGCTCTGGAGTCACATAGCTGGTGGTCATAAAGACTCTTAACTTTCTCCACAGATACCTTTGGGCTTTGAAAAGGTGATGTTAGTTTCTGAGATTTCTTCCAGGCCCTACATTCCAGTAGGAGGGCTGACCCATGCAGACCAGTGGCCCATACCAAGGAACTGACTTAACTGGTATTACACGACCCCCACCCAAGAAGCTGCTCAACAAAAGACAATTTCCACACCCCTATGGTTCCACCCTGAACCCAGCCAATTAACAGACTTGATTGGCTAATCTTTTGCCCACCAAACTATCTTTAAAAACCCTTTCTCCCAAATACTCAGGGAGGCAGACTTGAGAAATTCCTCCCCTCTCCCTGCTTAGCACGCTGCAGAATCAAACCCTTTGCCCATTGCAAGGGCAGTCTCCTGACCACCTCAGTGCACTGGCTCTTCTCTGTGCAGCAGGCAGTACATCCCAGTTGGGCGGCAACAAACTGAGGGCTAGTATGTTAATGCATCAGAAAAAACCAGACTTACAGAATCTGGTGATGGCAAGGATATAGAACAAGAATGTGGGCGTATGAAATGGAACAACCCATGCATATTATATTATAGACATAAACAAATATACAGCAACATCTATACATCCACCTATGCATATCATTCTTTGAAATTTTATGTGATTCTTAGGTTATACATCTACTTTCATTGTTTTACTTGATGTGTCAGAATTGATCTGTTCTGCAAAGGCTATTCTCAGTTTTTACTGTTATCCTAACTCTGATTACCTTTCTCTTTTCAGCCCCTGGAGGAACACGCATAGATGATGGTGACAAGACCAAGAAGACCAACCACTGTGTGTTCTCAGCAAATGAAGATCATGAAACCATCCGAAACTACGCTCAGGTAGAGACTGTCATTGATAGATTACCATTGTGTTAGAAGGGAAGCCTTTGAACAGTATTAAGGAAAACATTTAGGTTCAGAAACTCTACAGCCCCCTTTTTAAACAGGAATGTTAGCTCTTAAATGTATGACAAGATATTCGATTACACTCTTAATAAGACAATGGGCATTAAAACTATAAGAAGATAACTTTTTTGTTTTTATTTATTCATTTATTTATTTATTTTTACCTCTCATGGGGAACCACATGCTCACAGCAATTTCTGGTGGGAGTATAAATTGGTCCTGCCTGCATGGAAAGCAATTTTGTACTCTCTCTCAAAACTAAAACTGCACATCCCCTTTAACTCAGTAATTTCACTTATCCTACACATGTGTGAAACAATACATACAGTGGTAATCATTATTATATTGCTTGTGATTATATCAAAGAATGAAAGCAAATTAAAATCAATAAAGGACTGGTTAAATAAAGTTTGATA